TATTAAATTGTTCTTATCTCAACCCATAAGTTTCCTTCCCTTTTCCCCTTTAATTCTCTCCCTCGACCCTGCGGGTGGGGGAAGGTGAGCAAGCAGCCGCGTGGTGTTTTGATGCCAGTCAGGTTAAACCACAACAGGGTGTTAGCCAGTTTTTGCTTGGGAACAGCCTGGGCATCAGTCTACCTACCGGAGGCGGTGGGCGATTGCCTTTACATCACTTGTTTTGTTTTCTTCTCTCTTCTTCCACTTATCCTTCACTTATTAAACAATTTTTTGTTTGTTTGTTTTATCTTGACCCTCAATTTTCTTGCTTTTATTCTTCCTTTCCTCTTCCCCCATCCCACTAGGGGAGAAGTGAGCAGGCAGCTGTGCAGTGCTTAGCTGCCGAACAAGGTTAAACCACAACACTCTTATTAAAAAGTGTTACAAAATAACAAGAAAACAATACGTTGAAACAAGGGAGGACAGCTACAGACAAAAAAAAATACTGGCAAACAGAAGAGAAAAAACCCACAAATTAGTCTTTAAAAAAATAATTGTTCCTCTAGTCAGGTTTCTTTGTATAAAAAAAAAAGAAAAATATTTTCAGGATTTTAATGTCTAACTGCTCCCATGTGTCTAGGAACTCTGAAATCTTTGATCATGGTTCTGCAAATTGCTACAGATTCTGAGCTGAAGATGCTCAAAATCCTATTTTGTTTGGAATTTTAACCCTCTTGTTTGACTAAATTCCTCTTGCTCTCAAGAACAGCAATTCTGGATAAGGAACTGGTAGCATTTGTGGGAATTCAAATACTAGCAGGAAATGCATGTCACATACTCAACAATAAATATTGCAGCATCCAAGTGAAATCCATTATATCTTTCAGCAATTAACCAGCTTGAATTAAAATGAAACCCATACATACAATTTTGATAAAAAACAACTATTCAAAAGATATACGGAGAAAAGTTCTTCTTCTGACTTTCCTTTAAATAAACAGATTATTTGTAGTCTTTCTGAGTGCAACACTTCTGTTCCATTATATCTCATATTCCCAAATGACTGTAAAAGCTGCAGTAATTTTGATTTTAATTCCACTAGAAACTGCTTTTTGGATGACAGCTTACCTTGAACAATGATATCATCATCCAAATATATTACTTTCTCATGTTTCTGGACAAGCAAAGGAAGATAAAATCGAACGAAGTTCAGCTATTGAACAGAAAGAAAGGTAAAGGCTAAATGGTAAAGTTGTTTAACGTAGTAGTCCCACACTTTTGTCTTTATTAACAAGCAGCTTTAATTTCTCTCTTCATTGAGCACTAGACAGCAATTATTTGCTTCCTCCCTCTCAGCTTTACTAGTATCTCGAATCCATTATTATTATTTACCCCTATTTTATTTACTATGGCTTTAACCAAGTAGCCCGAAACAGTTGCTTCTTCACAGAAACACAGAATCATTTAGGTTGGAACGGGCCTTTTGAGATTATTTTGTCCAACCCCTCTTCTCAAGCGGGGTCCACCCAAGCAGGCTGCCAGGGACCATACCCAGTGGGGTTTTCAAAATTTCCACAGCCTCTCTGGGCAACCTGCTCCAGTGTCTGACCACCCTCACTAAAAAAAAAAAAAAAAATTCTTGCAGCCAGAGGAAATGTCATGTATTTTAATTTGTGCCCGTTGCCTCTTGTCTCACCCATTGGGTATTTATACATACTGGTAAGATCTTCCTGAGCCTTCTCTTCTCCAGGCTGAAGCACCTCAGCACTCTCAGCTTCTCCTCATATAAAAGATGCTTCAGTCCTTTAATCATCTTTGCAGCACTGTGGTGGACTCTCTCCAGTAACTCTGTATCTCTCTTGTACTGGGAAGCTCAGAACTAGACACAGTACTCCAGATGCAGCCTCACCAGTGCTGAGTAAAGAGGAAGGATCACCTTCCTGGATCTGCTGGCAATGCTCTTTCTCATGTGTTTTTGCAGTACACATCGTACAAAACACTTCAAATGCAATAGTGTCATCATTCCACCCTATAGGAATGACTTGCCTGGTGGCACAAACATGGGACAAGAACTTCTACAACAGCAACAAAGAACACATCAGAGGGAAAGGGGACTGAGAATGTAAGAACAACCACACTGACTCGGATCATTTTACCCAGCACCTGCCTTCAGAGTGGTCCTAAGCAGAGGCTCAGTGAATAATATGAATAGAGCAAGCATACAGAAAAGTTGCTCCAAGTGTTCTCCCAGTTTTCAGCTATTTTCAGCTCAAGGGATTTTGTGAACCAGATGCGATCTGTCTAAATATAAACTTCAGTCTTCACTGAACCCCTGTAAATTTTCATATTCACAAGACCTTTCAGCACAGAATTCTAGAGGTTTAGTACTCATTGCATGAAAAACATGCAACATTTCTTGTTTGTTCTGGCTGAGACTCCCACTAATTTAATCTAACGGCCATTTGTTCTTGCACTGGAAGAGACAGTGAGCAACCATCCCCCATCCAGACCTCCACACCACTCAGTTCTATAGACCTCTACTATTTTCATGCTAAAAGTCATATTTTCAGGCTGAACAGTTTTAACCCACTGATTCCTTGCAGGAAATCTTTTCCATATATTAGAAATATCAAAGGCTCAGAGAAGGGCAGCAAGAATAAACATTTTGAACAGCCTTGAACATTTTCTGATGGTGCTACATCTTTTTCAGATAAAAGGATGGAGACTGCACATAGTACTTAGGATGAGGGAAAACTACGGATTTGTATTGTGGCATAACGATGTTCTGTATTTTGATCCTTACTCCTTTTCTGATATTTTCTAACATCTGATTTGCCTTTTCTGACAGACAGCAATATTTAGATTTTAGTCACTAGCCTCTAAATTAACACTGGACATGAGCAGAATGCAGCCAGCTCAGCATCATGGAGGAACAACGAGCATTATTAGATCTTCCCTCTAATAAAATGTGAATATATTCTTAAAGACATGACACTGAAATAAGTGTTCAAAACCCTGAAAATGTGTTATGCCTTGTTCATTTACTCACAGGCTGCAGTAGCTCAGGACGTGATGCATCTTGTCTGATTTTTCCTTTTAGTACCATAGGATTGAATTCCACAACCTTAAATTTTATTTCTTTCAGTTTAGAATTTTCAATCCATTTTCTGTGATAAAAAAGAAGTGATAAAAGAAACATTAAGTGTGTGACAGGTACTTCCAGTATTAAATTCACAGGCTGATGGGAGAATAAGAGACCTTGAAAGCTCACTCGATCTATTCTATCCCAAGACAGAATCACTTATGTCTACAGCTATTGCATACAGACATTTGTTTAACCTGTTCTTAAAAAAACCCTCACAACAAAGCAAAAAACAACACTGAAAAAAACCAATAAATAACCCACACCACTGCCAAAACCAGAGACTCCACATGTCATCCAAACATCTTTCACCATAACTAGCACTAAATGCTGTTTTTCTAGGCTTTCTCACGACGGTTAAAGACCTTTTCTTCTTATCCTATCTATTGTGCAGAGGTTAGTTTTCTCCTTTTTACAGTTTTATGTCCTTCAAGATGTCTGCCATATCACCTCCTAACTATATTTTTTTTAGACTAATTTTTTGCATTATTTTGTCAGCTTTCTTGACACCATTGCTTATTTTCTCCTCTGACCTCTCCTCTAAATCCTTCCTGAAGGCACTTAAAACCAAACATCACACTTCTTCTGATGCATTAATAATGTCTGCAAGATCAGAAAAGGTTTCCTCACATCTCCTGTGGTCATATATGTCAACATATATATCTACTATGATGCATGCTTTTTTTTTTTCCTGAATCAGTGTGGTCAGTTATCAGACATAATTTTGTAGTTTTCCAAATGAGTACTACCGAACCCCTGCTCCACCCTGAGCCAACACAATCAGCTGTTCCCACCTGTACTACCTGGTCATTACCTCTACTGAATTTCATCACATTTTACAGTTCATTTTTCCAATTCATCACGATTAGTTTGTTTTCAGCTCTTGTCCTCAATTATCTGCTGTCTCTTCTCCAGCTTCACACCAACTGCAGATTCATAAAGAACATTCTCCACTATTCTCTAGGTTAATGGTAAACTAGACAGGAAAAACTCCCTGTGGAACTCCATTCATGACATCTTCTCACTTTGACACAAATTGTGGGTACACAGGCTGCAGAAGTGTAGTAGCCAGAGGTAAGAACTGCTACGACATCTGCTTTAATTTCGATTCGCACATTCCTTCTCTTTTAGACAATTTTTGCAAATTTTAACACCCAAACGTGCTTTCTTTACAAGCTTCTTTGGGTGTCTATTTATAACCTTTAATACATCCTCTTAGCCAAAGTTAGCTTTAAACAACAAGTTTTTCTACTCTGACGATTAAGACACTGTCAGATGAGAGGTAAGTGCAGTGCCACCAAGTGGGATTGTGAGTAAGCATGTCTATATTTGTGTATATTTATGTATATATTTACCTTACTACAGACTCTTCTACAGCCAATCTACAAAAGGCAGAGAGGAACAGGTAGGGGCACGGTCTGGCTATTTTACACCCCTTTACATCAGTCAGTGCCTTGTGTAGGGCAAAACGGTCCTTTTTCCTACATGTAGAGAATCCTACGGATTGCTATCAGTAGCACTACTTAAATAAAAGGGAGAAACATTTCCCTGAAAAGTCCTCCAAAGCCTATGCCCGTGCTAAGGAGAACAACCACCTGGTCCTAACTACAGCATGAAACAAAATAAGGCTGGTGTATACCGAATATGTGGGATGGTAGTCTTCAGCCCAACTATGTAGAACAAAACATTGGCCTCTGTGTTGCTGTAGATGCTACTGATTGCTGCTATAGCTGCACCCATTCTGCCTGCAGCAGCGCAGATTACAACTGGGATTTCTTCTTCCGTTTCCTCAGGGCTCTCCAAATCAACTACAAGAAACAAAACCATGCATTATAACAGAAAATTAAGAAACTTTTTATATCAGATCTGGGTCATAGGAATGGGTACGCAGTTCCCTAAGCAGTGGAATCATATCACGATCACCCCATTTCCTTACCACATCCTACACACATCCGCATCTGGCAAAGCACACAGCATGTGCTGTTGCTAATCCAGAACCACATGCAGGTTGACTGGACTGTTGGATGTCTCCAAACAGAACATTAACAGAGTTCTCAACACCTTATACTCTACTCAGCATGGGCACAACTCGGCTTGTCCTCCATGCAGCTGCTTATTCACATGAAACCTGAAGAAGTTTGAATACCTCTGAGACTTCTGTTTCTCAGTTATATTAAGTACAAATTGAACAATAGGTTCCAAAAATTATCAAAAGAAAGAGATAAGTCAAAGAGATGTTGCAATTGCATGAGCTTCACTTCTTTGGGAAGCAGGCTAGAAAGGAATAGTGCAAAATTACGTACCAGCAGGAAGTTGCTAATGATAAAAGGAAAAAAAAAATCTAAACAATACTGAACCAGTTCACATTACCGCTAAAGAAGATTTTTATTCCTAGCACTGACTAACTTACAGAACTTACATGGATATATTTACACTGGTTAAAACATAACCATTAAACTCATAACAGCCCCAATAAAAATACATGGAAGAAAATGGTTTATACCAAGACAGAGTTTGTTTATCTTGGGAGCAGTGAATAAGCTATTAGTATAAACATTTAATACCAGTCCAACGATATCAACTCTAGTGGGTTTCTGTCACTTTATAAAAATTCCAGCAAAAACTTATGCCGTAAATCATGTCAAGATTTGATGATCTATCTGAAATGAACAGGTAGGCCAAGAACATTCCCAAAGGGGCAAGTTGTGATCAAAGTTTATTATCACTTGACAACTCCAACACTGTTCAGCACGAATAAGGACATACTCTAGCTTCCATCTACATCAGTGACATCAGAATAAAAATTTGAATCAGAATGACAATTCTCACTCATTACTATCGATCTCCTATTTTATTCAAGTAATTCAGAAGCAAAAAATTCTGCATCCCAGAACATATGCAACAGTGTGAGCAGCTCATCTACTGCAGGGCAAACAGGACTAAGACAAAAAGTACCGTTCAAAAGAAGAGATAAGGAATACAAAACAAGAACACAAATGAAACAGAAGTGCAAGTCATTTACCTGTTTCATTCTTCAATGCAGATGGCACTTGGTGAACTTTGTTATACAGAATGGCGCACACAGTTAAGACAAGAAGTAACAGTAAGATCTGGTTAACTGAAACAAAAGGGAGAAAGGTCAACAATCTGTATAATAGCTCATTCCAAGTACCTTTCTTTCAAAAAAAAACCCAAACTGTTTGCAACCAGTACATATCATAACCTATATTTACCATGTTTATCAAATCCTCCTTTCTCTTCTTATTTGATCAAGCTAAAAATCCTATATTAAAACCATAATAGTATCTCTCCTCTGTTATAATAATTTGCAACTATTTGACTTTCATGGATAATTTGTTCACTAAATCATTAAACTCCCGAAATATATGGGTTATCCACACTAGAAAGTTCACCTGTTTCTGAAGTTTACCAGAAGCCTGGAACTTTCTTTTCTTGGCTAGTTTGTTGTCTGTTTATCATCAGAGGATCTCATAAATTAATTATTTTTACCTAGCCCTTTCCTTCTCTCATGCTTCCCTGATAAAGCTTGAAACCAGGAGAATTTTTGTTTTCTATTTCAATGTTCAGATCTTCAAGCTGTATTTGAGCAAAACTCTAAAAGTACTAGAAAAACAAAACAAACATGCTACTGAAGCCAGAAATGTTCCAAAATACTTCAAAATACATAAGCATTTTGACATGGTTACTTTAATTAGTTAAATAAAACCAAACCATGCAACAAAAAAGACCTCATTGTATATTACAATTTGCAGTTCCTACCTATCTTGTACAAGTTTAAGTTATTCAACATAAACCAACCATGAGCAGGTATCAGGACAGTTCACTGAGTACCACAGGGAAGGAACACATTGCCATCATTGACAGTGACCTTGATAATGAGAGTTCTTTGTATCAGACTACTTTGTTACTTTTCCACCACCATAAAAGGTATTTAAGGTGTATAAAAGAGCAAACGGAACAAAGTTTTGGGCTATTTCAATCAAAAGGGCCAACTGGGCAGAATTTGGCATGAGAATAAATTGAAATTGATAAACTTACACCACTGAACCTGCACTCATTTAAACCAGTTGAGGAAACAGCCCATTGACTTCAGAGAAATTTGGGGTGCATAAATGAAGGCTCACACCAGTCCATTTTCAGTCACTGACCCCAACAGCTGACGAGAGCCCCAAATTTCTTGGGGCCACACCTCAATTGTGAGAATGAACAGTGTTAATTTGCAGAGTTCTGTAAAAAAGTCAGGTTCAGGGCTCTAGGCACAACCCACATGAAACCAGCAGCTACCTGCAATCTTACTGGGAAGTTCCAGACCCCCTAGTCTCAGGCAGTAAAGCAGTGAGTAATTTTAAGTTAATGGGGTTTACAGCCATGCTTATCTGACTCAGTTAACAGGAAAAGGCTTATTTGTACAGTTAAAGTTAGGCAAAACTAGAACTCTAAATTTGCATGCAACTGTGACAACAGTTACATGAGAAATTGCATTTGATGTTTCTGTCCTCTTTCGAAAATACATATTTAAAATGTTTTTAATCTCTCTTACTTTTCTTTAAAAGAGCCATGTGTCCTGTTAGATGAGAACTGTGATCTGTTGTAAAACAAAAATTTAAAAAAATTGTGAAAAAAAGAGAGAGAGAAAAATCATTAATACCAGCAGTGAATACTAGTTACTAGTTAGCTATTTCAGGAACAAGGTTTTGCATCATCAAATTTTACTGTTGACCTGGTAAAAGTAAAACTGAAGTCTATCTTTGTAAATTACTTTTTTTGAACAAATAACTAATATTCTGGGCTAGAAATATTACATATTTAAGTTTAAGCTATTCATAAGTTGAAAAGAAAAACATTTTAATAAATTCCATCCAATCACCTACTTCAGTAATAACTAAGATTTTTTAACACATTTTAAAGTAATACGCAAAGGAGTATTAAAACACTCACTGATGCAATTTGTAAATACATTCACATTTATCTCTGATTTCACCTAAAATATAATAACAATCACAAACACTAATCTCTTGCTGGAATATGTTCCCAAACATATGGGAATCTTATACTGGAGCAGTGAGTGTCTTTCAAACTCTCAGAAAATTTCAGAGCAATAGTGAAAATATTTTCTAACAGCAGTATCCTTCCAATAACAGTAAGGGAGGAGTTTGTGCAATGTGGTTTGTATTTAAGCACATTATTTGTGATGCTGAAGCAAATGAGGCAGCCTTCCCTAAAACTGTACTTCTAAAACGGGCCCAAGGATGGCCATGACTTTACACCTGAGAGGACAGAACATAATCCCTAAAATACAGGATTATGGGAAATACAATATTCACTTGAATCCTGGACCCAAAACTACTGTTTATGAAAAAACAAACAAACAAACAAGCAAAAACACACCATGAACAGTAAAAAAGAGCACCAGAAGCTGGGGGTGGGGAGGGGAAAGTACAATTATGTGATCTAACTTTTATGCTACAATAGCTGCATATGGGACAGAAACCAATTTTTCCTGTTTCCATACATACAGATATGGACACATCACAGTATACGTAAGGATATGTGATGGCTTCTATGCACACATAAAAATGAAATTTATTCTGACTCCTTGAGAAGACAGACAGAACAGCAAGGATTCTTGAAACCTGAGTCACAAAACTGACCGCCTCTCATTGGTTAATGCCCAAGTTCCAGCGGCAACCTAAATTAGTCTCTGCTTCGACTAACAAGTTAAACGACAATAAAAATATAAAAAAAAGCTAAACTGTGGCTTTGTTTACAAACCAATTATATTTGCATGTATTTAGTTCCCAACAGATGACTAAATCACAGTGAGAGAGGAGTACTTCTGAAAGTCCTTTCACGTCTGCAGTGCTTATCTACATTCCAGCAGCCGCTCTCCTCATGTGGCATTAATTTACACAGAGAGGAAATCAAGCTTATCAGTTGGAAAAAAAACACTGCTGAGAGAGCCCTTCTCTCACGCATTACACACAAGTATTGTTGTCTTATCCATTTAAAAAGTTTACTCAGGTAAGCAGAAAGACAACAGAAACCCCTGCACTCTTGGTGTAACTTTCTAACCCCACTTTAGCTAATCACAATCTTCCACTGATTTCCATATATTTCAATTAACATTTGTAATGATAGTCACAAACAAAACCGATGACTATTGCAAGATAGAAGATGGATAGCCACAGCTTCGTGGTATCTTCAGAAACAACTAAATCAACATAAACTGAACCACATTTTAAACTTTAAAATCCAAACTCAGACAGACACTCATAGAGTTCTAAAACTACAGCTTTCCTAAGCCTCAGAAACTCAGATTGATTACTCACTGATTTTTAAGGAAAGAGAGAAATATTTGTTCCCCTGCAAATATTTACTCAATTTTTCCTGATTGTAGACATTAGTTCCTGGAACCTGGCAATCCCTAACTCAGTTGCCAAATCCTGTAACAAAATGAGGGGCTGCAGAAGGGAAAGCTCAGAAACAGTGACATTACTGCTCAGATATTTCCAGCTCAATTAGTCTTTTTACCTCTTCAAAGCAGCACAGTATTCGAGACTCCTCTCTCCTGAAGAACTGAAGAGCTATTTACTTGGATCCTAGATAGCCCACAGCTGTAAGCACTCTTGCCAAAGCTTCCTTGACCATCATCCTCCTTTGAAGTCCCCCGCACAAGGGCCTTACAGGGCACAGTAACAGTTTTGAGATTCAATTCCTTTTTCAAACTCTTCAAAGTTTACTTTGGAGTTGCGCTGGTTTTCTTTTCTTTCTCTGCTGCTGAGGAATAGCACGGAGTCCAGACGCCGCACTGGAGGAATGAGAGCCCATAAACCACTTCCAGATGTGCAGAACGATGATGCAGCCCCAGATCTGGCAAACTTGCCTCAGAGCTTCAGCTAGCAGATTGCAAACAAATCCCATAAGACAAGAAGTCTTAAGGAGGTGGGGGAAAGAGAAGGAAACAAACCCTTCCAGAAGTTACTTCAACAGTCTAGTTGCAGGTTAGGTTTCTAGTCATTATTTGTGGTAAATGTGAACATGTAACTAGTGTGCAAGAGCCAAACGACACCATGCCAAAGTCAAACTGAAAGGTGAAGTTTTCCCAGGGTCTGTTTGCAGAGTTCTTGTGAGTCAAAAGCTAAGGGAAACTTGCAAAATTCAACTCTGAACATGCATTTCGACTTGAATCATCTCGTTTCCAAATCTTCAAGCAGTTAAGAGAATCTGAATTCACAAGTTTGGTTTGGATCAAAGGGACCTTAGATGAAAGTAACCAGCACCTGTTGATACTCTGCCTCCTAAGCTCTGCTGGAAAGCTTTTGCAGTTTTACTTCTACATAATTTCTTCTATTAAAATTTTCTCCTTCTCTTCTAGGAGCCTCTCTTCTATATGATAAAACACTGTTTTGTCACAAGACTTTCATGAGTACCAAAAGGAATAATAATACCCAATTCCAAACTATTTTCAGATTTTTAGCATGAGGTAATGCAAGATTTATGAGGAATATTCAGTCAAAGTTTTAAAAATCTTAAGCGTTTTAAATGAAGATTGCTGTTCCACTTGTAGGAACTGAAAATCTGGTATTTCAACCGTTTGTCTCAAACATGCCAAAACTCTACTAATCCGTGTCTGATTTTGTACAGAAATCCATCTTTTGCAGAGCTGCTTGAAGGAAAAATAAAGTCACACAATTACGTGCTTCATGTAGACAGAAACAACCATTACTTTTTCTGTACTACAGTATTTTTAAAGCTGTATTATGCTCATGTACATCAAAATCCACCCGTGTTTTGTCCATCTCATTTTTATGTGTATCCTGCCCAGATCTCAGATGCACAGAGCTGTATGAGCCTGCAGCTTTAGGACCACCTGGTTCACCCGGCAGCAACCCCTGGATTACTGGCAACCCAGTAGCACCTTCTGCGGACCTCACCTGCTTGTATTCTCGCTTAACACCCCCCCTCACACAGGAAAGAGAGCAGCTTCTGTCCTGCAGAATATCTTTGGGTTTATTCAGATCATCCGCTCGTAACTGTAAAACTGAAACCTAGGTTTCAAATCTCAACCTTCAGTATTTAAACCAGCAACTCGTTTCTTTCTCAGATGTCTCAGGCAGCATACCCCATCTGCCACTTGCATGTTAAAAGAAAAAAAAAAAAAAGCACAAAAACTGCCACACA